TAACACAGAGAAACAGCGCTTACACAGATGGGTCTTCTGGGTGTCTGCAGCTTTCTTAGATGCCCTTATTTGTGACTCTCCTCGTATAGATACACTGTCATCACAACAGGCCTCCTCATCTTCCATTTTATGCCAACAACCTGAAAAGTGAGAAATGGTGACGAAATGAATGTTGAATGTGGTGACAGGGGGAAGTCTGGTTACAAGAGTGTGTTACACACACAAGTTGGTTCCATGCAATTGTCTGAAAATTTGAGATGTACAGGAAGGATTAACAAGAGGCTCTTGTGACTTTCTGGGCTAATGAAGATCACAAAATAGGAAGGCCTCAGCAGAAATATGACACAAACATGGCAAGCACCACATGGATTAGAATATGGATCCCCAGCTAATCTTTCAACTAACAAAATTCAGCACAGCTTGTCTGCTGGGGACTGGGACGAGCTGTGCAAGGTTTTGGCTCCATCTTATTCCAAGTAAAATTCAATAAAAGAGTAGCTGGTTTTGAGGATTACTTAGCACGTATGTGCATGTCATAACACATGTGCAAGTCAATGTTGCAGAATACTGCAGTGGCACCAATGCAGAGAAATAGGTGATGAAGAAGTGAGCAGTCAGCACTTGGCCAGAGCAACACAGCTTGCTATATTATTCAGGGAAGAAATTATAACAAAGAATTGAATGGGGGCCTTACAAGAACAGCCCATGGTTCATGTAAATAAAGACCATAACATGACACAAGCTGCCACAAAGAACCCTTACCTAGAGAAAGAGTGCAGAAGTTGAAGCCATGCATGGGGACACTGTCAGCCTCCCATGAAGAGAAAGTGCAAGCTAAGACCCATTAAGCTCAATGCAAAACTCCTGACTCCCTAACACTTCTTGCACTTTTTGAAGTTACGGGTGTTAGTGATGTTTGTGGAGTCCTATGCTCAGGGTTTCCCATCCAGCTCATCCCTGGAAGCCACAGCACGTTTGACAGGAAAGTGGGAAAAATTAGCAGAGGCAATGTTCTGGCTGTGGGAGAGAGAAAGCTACGGCTGAGGAATAAAGGAAAGGAG